TTCCTGTTCCATCCCCCTCAGCTTATTCAGACCACAACACATTTGAGTCAACGAGGAAGCTGGGATTTCTGGCAAACATTCCATTTGACTCATCCTTAATCCTGGCTGCCCTGGCCTTCAGCTTTCCCGTTGACTCATTTATTGATCATACTATTGAGTCAACGGAAAAAACACAAACGCACATTAAGGATTTGACATTTATCACTCCCCCGTTTTGGATGGAAGTTGTTCAAATTGAACAGCCATCTTCATACGGGGGATGGAAATACTCATGGAGTCTACATTACGCTGTTCATCCTGAAGAAAAAAGGAAGAAGCGGCTTTCTTGGGGCGCTGTATGGCGCTGCCCCCCTGCCAAAGGGAAGAGAAGTCCTCGTTGAAACAGATTGAAATCATATACAAACATACTGCTGCAAACTGCAGTGTTGGTAGGGTCTGGGATTGAAAAGCAATAGGTATAATAGGTAGGTTCAGAAGGGATTTGGTTCGTTGACAAAGGTCCTTTGCCGTGCACCTGGTGGAGTTCTAGCTATAAATACTTGATGCTTCTTGGGATCATGTCCCATCACCCAGCAGAACGTTCGTGTCTTGGTCAAGCAATGTCTGGCTGTGTCTCAAGCATCGCCTAACCCCGAAATGAATCATGGTTGCGTGGACGTCCTGGCCCCTCAAGCCGAAGACCAAATCCTCTACAAACCAAATGGTGTGAACTCCTCGAAACCAGGTGAACGGAAACCAGGGAGAGCCTACCATGCTTTTCTTAGATGTCCATGCTTTCATCCAATATATATAACATAATTAACCAAATCATTGCCTTCTAAAACCTAAATCCTCCACGTCCACGTCCACCTCGCCTGTGCTTGCGACTCGCGGTGCTTCGCCAAGCGAGGCTTGGCCGTCTTGCCCTGCCAACGACGCCTGCGTGCGCGGAGCTTCGCCCAAACAAGGTGAGGTGGGTGAAGGGGAACCGTCCGACTGGCGCGACTGTAGGTGGCTGAGGGTGGATGGATCCGGAATCTCATGGAAATTTTCTGAAACTTCCCAAGCTGCCAGATCTACGAAGCTGTCAAGAACTGACTCCACCACCCCCTAGTCTCTGCAGATTTTGGAGCTGCTCAGCTTCGTCATATATAAGAACAGCCATCACTACCTCCCCCATGGCACCTTGGTTCTGGCACCTCGATCACGGGCAACGCTGGCCTCAGCTCAGCTGGCGCGTTTATCGCAGGCGAGTTTCGAACGATCGGTTCCAAAACGGTCTTGAAGTGTGAGGCAGTTCACATGGGGGTGGCATTGAGGAAAATGGTTCTATAACATCCTAGAACCCATTTGACCTTTGTTTTGATAGGAAAAGACCTTGTTTGGGCCTCCAAACAGGGGTCAATCAGGTTCCAGGATTATATAGCTATGACAACATAACAATACTGTAAATCAGATTCTCGAAAGGATGAGATAATATGATTACACTTTCTTCCTATAATGGCACATTCGTAGCCTGTGTGTTTGTTTGTTGCGCTTGGTTCGGTTTACGATCTTCCGCCCTTCGGATTCAAGGTGCTCTGCTTTCTCTGCCCGCGGCATCCGTGGAGGTGCCCCGGCACGGAACTTGAAGTCCTCAGGTCTCGCGCCGCCCCGCAGCGAGTCCAACGGCAACGATTTTGCCCCCTCAAATCAGTCGACTACACTGGGGACGAATTCACGGACTAATTAACTACCCTAAGGGGATCAGTAGTGGGACCTATATATTTTTGCAGCATCTTCGATCTATTAAAACAACACCCGACAGTGGTTCTTCAGCACGCTCTTCGGGCCCATCTCCGATCCCGACGCTCTTAGCGGCGTAAACGGACGCGCGCTATCGCGCGCTCGGTTTCCGCCGGTTTCAGCCGACGTGGCCGAGGTGGTGGACACATCAGCGTACTTGAGCTTCACCGGGGCTAACAGTCCTCAGTCCGAGCTCGGTGGGAGAGGCTCTGGATCCATCCGTCTAGATCGTGACAAGAGATTCGCGCCATGAATATCAATGAATTGTGCTATGGGACAAAAAGCCCGAGCAAGAATCCAAAGCAAAACGGAGCGGAATAAGCATACCCAATTTAAGTCTTTAGTCTGAGATGGAACATGAACCTCTAATCAATCATCATGGACACCATTCAACTCCCTACTATATGTAATAGTGCCAAATCAGTTTTCTTCATGCTGCACTCTGGTTTGAAACATGGGAGGGGCGGCCCCAGGTTAATAAAGCATCATGCACTCCCTTCCAAAGCTGCAGAACCATGGCCATCTCATTCCCAAACGCGAATTTCCCGATCTGACCCTCAAAAATCCACACCCCAACCGGTCACTACTCACGATCACTCGCACAAGATCGCCGCATGGCAGTCGCCGGCCGCTTGGAAAACGCACGGCATATGCCGCCCTTTTTTGCCGCCCAAGACGCGGCCATAGTGCCGATCCATCTTCCCTGGATCCGTCGTGACTCGTCGTGAACGAAATCAACATAAGCCCGTGGAGGACGAAGGACCCGGAGACATGAAGGACCGGACATGACGGTGTATTGACGGTGCATTGACGGTGCGTAAGTGTGCGTAAGTGGTGCAAGAGCATTGGTTTGCGGAAAACAAACCTGCTTTTGGGTGTGAAATCAATTTGTTCCTCGATTGACCCCGTGGTCGGGTAATTAGTTTTATATGCTTTGAGAGGCCAGGTTCTGTGGCAAATAATGCTCCTTGCACCGCAAAAAAAACAGATGTTCTATCCCAAAAAATGTACCTTAATCCACGGTCTATATGGCTCTTGAGCTGGGCCAGGCAAGAAAACGGGCGTTGCTTTGCAATAAACATGCTTTCCAGGAAGCAAGCTCACTGTTTTGGATTTGTCAAGTGTCGGTATTCCATCATGTCTTGGTGGGACTGGGAGTGCCTGGGGCTGTCCTCTGGATGGTCCCTGGGTGGAAGCCGCTGGCTTCAATATAGAGAGGTATCATATCAGCACCCCGAGTTATAAAATACATGCGGCCCCAAATCCAGTTCAGATCTTTCTGCAGCATCCAATTTACGGCTACCCCAGCCAGGTGCTGCTTTGAGAATCACGCCCACCGCGTCATCTGCCTGCGGAACCCCATAGGGAGGCAGCGACTTTGTGGTGAATCTCCGGCAGGGTGGTCGTCACCTCGCCATCGGAGCCTCAAGAGCGATGGCGGAGGAGCGGAGGAGTGTCTGCCCAAACCTTGGGAATCTGGAACTGGTGTTTGGCACGCGTCATATTATACATGTCTAGTCCAGGTGAAACCAGATACGGAGATGTGCGCTGTAGTCAGATTCAGCTCAACCCTACCCAGTGTGGCCCGGTGAACTCGTTTCTTTTGTGAACCCTCAAAGCTGATCATTTCGCATCCCTTGTCTCTTCGCTGTATATCTTGTGACCTGACTGAGAAGGGACACAAGCCCGTCTCCCACCCGGCCCCGTCAAGCAACTCAGGCCCCTGTCGAGCCCCACCCAGCCTGAATCCATCCAAAGGGATCTCTCAGCGACATCCACAGGCGAACGTCGCGAGAATAAGGGTGACAATGGGCGCAAACATCCAAGAATGCCCGCTGTCTGTGCTTCTGAATCTCCAATTTAAATTGATGAGAGATGATGAGAGGCTCAACATCATCTACAATTGAGCGGAAATCATGCAAACCTGCATGGTGAATCTGGGCAAAACCGCATGTCCCAGTCCCTTTGAGGCTGAATGAAGTAGCCCAGTCCCGCCCAGTCTGGTCCCCAACCACTCCGCACTGGAGGGAACCGCTTTCACCACCTTGAACCGTTGCGGGCCGTTGCGCGTTGCGTCGACTGATCCGCCACCAAGTCGACACGGTGGCGTCGACCCGGTAGGTTCTCTGGTTGTGCCTCTGACATAGGGGCGGAAAATGGGGACATTCAGTTGAAACATTGACATACACATGGTTGATCATTGATCATGGTTTGGGATATGTCGACTAATGCAGAAGGCACTAAGGAATGAGGGTTAAACGACTGGAATTCTTCAGCATCTTCAACCAAACGCACATTCGAACGGTTTGATTCTGAACTCTCTGTTCGAAACTTTCCAGTGCCAGCCTATCCCAAGCTATCCTCGAATTATCTCAGTACCCATGCAAAGAGAACTATATCAACATATTTACATAAACCAATAGATGTAGAACTTGCAATATCAATGGTGCCTAGATCTTCCAACGTTGGTCTTTCTAGGCAAAAGATCCGGCTTTTCACAACTCCTCCCAAAAAGAAAAAGGCAAATCATTAGGCAAATCAATTTGCTTATGGACGATCCAAAATGATCCAAATACACCCTGGAAAACGATCCCATGGACCCTGAAAACCACTGGTTGGTAGAGGAAAACCAGCTTCCAGGAGGCCAGCCAGTCAGGGTCCATGTTAGTTTTCGGAAGTGTATCCACTCAACCCCCAAAAATATCTTCACCTCTTTGGGGAGGTACCTCTTTTGGGCCGAACTGGTTGCCAAAAAGGCTCCCGGTGGGTCCAATGAATCGGAAGATGTGGGTTCTCGAGCTGAGCGGAGCGTCTGTGCAGCAACTGGGAACTTCGAAGACTCCGAAGTGGACATGGCTATCCCAGACACGACGAGTCTGGGACTGCCATGTCGGACTGCCGCCCCAGAAAGACCCCCAGTCCACCACCCCTGGCCGTATATACGGCAGTCCTATGGCAGTCTCATGGAGTGTGTGGCTATGGAACTGGAAACAAAAACAGGAACCCCGGAAGACACCTGAATCACCAAGGCCACCAAGGCCTCAAAAGAAGGCCTCCATGAAATTAACTAAGCTCTTTTCCATGTTGTTCATGGCGCATATGCCACGGAGTTCGAGCAAGTTCCCTAAGTGTCCATCTCCATCTCCTTGGATCCAAGGAAAACACCATGAACATCATCCGATCCACCTTGCTCCGCCTGGACCGCTCGACTGGCGCACAGCACGCGCCGCACGCGCCTCTGCACCGCGCGCAGGTAGAGCTCGCGTGCCGCGTCGACGCGGCCCTCTTCGGCCGCTTCGTTGAGCCGCCCTGGGCGGTTGCGTAGGCGGAGAAGAGGCGGGAGGGTGGTCCAAGAGGCGCCTCATGGCTTGCGAGGGAAGCCCATTAAAAAGCTCATGATTTCATTCCCTATAGGGCTCCAAGTACCTTCTGAGGTGTTACTGGGGTGGGTTTGGAGTGTCCAAATACCTTCCGAGGAGGTCCTTGGAGCCCTAGGGATTACATAGATCATCATAGATCCAATTGGATCAACTCTTCATATCTCTCCATGAGGTGAGCCTTCCCTCCAACTAGGAGTTGGCCACAGCAGCTCGACCCACTTTTCACCCAGAACTAATGCTTCGCTTGGATCTCGAGAAGTGGAGCCAAAAGGGAACCCTGCATTCTAGTGGCCATCCTTCATGTCAGGAAATCCAGGGGGTCGACGTTACTGGAGGCAGAAACAGGCAAGAACTTCCGCAAGTACTCGGGCAGTCCGAGCACTGATCGCTCCAAACTAGCTGTTCGTTCGCTTGTCGGGGCCCCTGATGGCCCTGGTGACCTTCTCATTCTCATTCGGACCATTTCTGCAAACTCCCATGTCTCTTGGAAACAGTGCAGCCCCTCCATGGCCCAAATCATTCTAGTGATTCTGGTGGATGATGGAGCCCATTGCCCCAAAACAGCTGCTCAATTGGGATAACCACCCCCAAACAGGGATTAGTATCTATATAATATTAGTCCAACTTAATCCATATTATGCCACAAATCACTCAAGCTACTCAAATCTGCTCTGGAAAACGTATGTTGCTTTTCCAGCTTTGGCTTCAGGTTGGATTGATACATGTTTGGAGTATACAACGACGCTCCACAATAAGTGCGGGATGGAGCCGTTTGGTCTAGCCCGTAGCCCGTAAAACATGCATCTAATCAAAAGGCGCGCCCGGCTTGGGATGGAGAAAAAAGCCAACAAACTCCAACTCACCACCCACTGGACGCCTGTCAATTCCCATTCAAATGAAAGAATCTCATATCTGCCAAGCTGCGGAGGAGCTCGATCTCGGGTACGGATCAGGTGGGATGTGGCTGAGTCCAGGCTATCGGCTATGGTCAGGGGTTGTTCGTCCAACCTCAAACTAAAGTATCCCTTTGAGGCCTCGGTGCACCTCGGACGGTATTTGGACCCTCCAAAACAACACATGAGCAGCCCTGAACACCTTGGGATCAAGTACTTGGAGTCTGGAGACCGGTCAAGATGATCATCTGTGCTGTGATTCCGTGATGTTTTCAGGAATCCTGGTGCTTCGAAGGCAGTTGAAGTACGCAGCTCCCATACTGATTACTGTAAAGCAGCTTGGACCCATGAACACAGAAGGGAGGATGGAAGCCATCAGGTGATCTTCTACAACCTACCCCTCTCACACCAAATCTCCCCAAACAAACTCCGTGTATATAAACGAAGTGCGTCCTGCAAAGACAGGGCCCACTGCAACACCTCTTTCATTGGCAAATCTCTGCAAAAGAAGAGACCTCTTAAACTTAAAGAAACACTTGAAATGTTTAACTGGCACCAACTAAATCTCAATTTCTCATGGTCCATCAATACACGTCGCACCACAAATCAACGTTGGACTTGCCTTACTTGGACCAAACTTTCACTGATCCAAGCGTCAGTTCACCCACCTCCAAATCCGATTCTGGCATTCGTTCTCTTGGCTGCAAACATCAACATGGTATCCCTGCCCTCTCCAGGTGCAAAGTCAAACTGAGCAGACCTCAGAAGGATCTTAAGAATCTACCCCAGGACCCTCCTGTCGGGGTGTCTATTTATAGCCCCTTAGCTGTTAACCGTCCATGAACCACCCCGACCTGGGGTCCTGCTAAGACATCTGGCTCATCCATCCCCCTGCAGGAACGACAATGGCCACGACGGCATGCCAAGACCAAGCAGCATAGGAAGCGCCAGTTCCGCCGTTCATGGAACGGCACAGCATCCTGAACGCGGGCAGCTCTGGGACCAAGACATCAGGGTGGTCCGGCCGGTCATCGTTGAATTTGTGGATCCACCAAGCAAAACAGAATGCAAGCTACTGACGATAGATAAAGAGCGATGATCAGTGTTCCGCAGAGTGTTTGGTCAACGCTCTCAACAATCCCAGAGCAGGTTCTACACATCAGCATTGAACTCTGGAAGCGGACGACCTGTACTGCCTGCTCAAGTGTTTCTTTTTCCAAATCTGCTGCTGCGTCGCCATCGATTGTCAGTGGAAACTGGACGATTAATCAACCAAAACCCTGACCTAGTGGCCTACCAAATCCGCTGTCGGATGTCAACTTGGAGAGGCTCCAAGGTTGGCGCACACTCTGACCGATCGAAGCCCAGTCGAAATGCTTGGGCATAGCCCAAAGTTCGACCCCCTAACAGAATAGACATGAACAATAACACAATATAGGTATATTA